CCCCAAAACCCCAAAACCCCAAAACCCCGAGTGGAATCTATTAATCTATCAAAGTGAATTGTAAAATAATTCATAAAATAAAAATTACCATACTCAGAATATTCTAAATTTTACTTTCATTATTCCAGTTTAATGTGTGTATCAAAATCAAATCCTGAATTTTGTTTTTTAATCGCTTAACTATTTCTTTTTATTTTGGCCTTTGCTTAAATGAATTCTGGACTAATTTGTTGAGGATCACCTATTATTTTATTTTACATTTCTTCAATTAATCCTTATCTCTGTATATCATCCTGATTAATATATTTCATTACTCTTTAGGCAATTCTATTATCAAATTTATCTCTTAATTTAAAATTTCCAGCTATCTATTATAGCCAATCTTCATTGTCTTTCAAATTTGTTTTTAGTTAATTTGTTGAAGTTACGCAATATGTTTAATTATAAAGTTTATTATTACTCTTTAGGCTTATTACTTATTTAAAGTGCTTTAATATTTATCTTTATTTTTGCGTTAGTAATATGTATTCTAAGAGTTTAATTTTTTTTTTTTATTTAACGAATTCTTCTATATCAAACACTTTATCTAGTCTTTCTGATCCTCTCTCATACAATTTATTCTTTAATTTGAATTGATAGTAAGATCTTTTTGATGCACAACATCTAAACAATTTAAGCAGGAGACTTTTAAACTTATCACTTGCTGTGAATTTCAACTATCTTAGACTGATATTACCTTTGCTTACTGATTCTTAAAGCTACTAAATATGAGATTTAAGCTTAACCTTTTTAATATTTAAGAATTAGTTACTATTCTCTAGATTAGTGTTAAGAACATCAAGAGAATTATTTGTTAAATCTCTTCCTGTTTCCTATTCTGATTATTTCTTTTTTTATTTTTTGCTAAGAGCCTTCTCTACATTTTGGACATATTTTATGTGATTGTATTCATATGACTTTTTTAGGATACTTGATTTAAATAGAAATTCCTATATGGATCCAGAGACAAATGATAATAAAGTTGTAATCATGCACATTAATCCTCCTACTTAAGAGAATATCTCAAGGATTGTATCTGTACTTCTCTCAACTATCTCGACATCCTCGCTCATGTAATATTGAATGCTTTAAATCCTATCATAATAGGTGAAGCCTGATGATGAAACTGTAGTACCTTGATATTTTGATTTATAATATTCTTATTCCACTCCCTAAATTTGACTACTAAACCAAGAGTCTTTTAATTATAATTCATTTCTACTAATTTTGAAATAGGATACTTAAGATAAATTCTCCTTTAACTCTAGAGGAAAAGCTTAAAGGGAGAGCTTAATAGGATTTTGACTAAATTCTTTCGTGTCAAAGTACTATTCTTTTTAGACAATGGTAACAACTACCATTGATAATATAGAGTTGATCTCATTTTTACTTTTGCAAGTTTTACCTGGTTTAATTTAATCAAGAATATACTACTAGCAATAGAGTATCTCAGTTACACCTAATCTTCTTTTTTTGCTCGCTATATTACCCTATAATTTCATCTAAAAATTCTTTGCACACCACATTCCACCTGTATCTAGCGTTTAGTCTTCATTAGATAATCTACCAGACTAGCACTATTCCAATTCAAATTTTTCATTGACCCAAGTTAAGATATCTTAACCATATTAAGATGATTTACCATCTGAAGTGACTTATTCAGATGTAACTTGAGATATTTGAACAGAAAAGTATGTATCTAGTTCTTCTTGCAATTATGAATCTGGACCAAGGTATAGGAAAGAGATCCCTATATCAAATTGTTCTTGATTAAGCTAATAAATAACATTGTCTTCAAGTAGGTTCCTATAATATTGAGAGTACTTTATATTGACAGCTTCATGCTAAACCACTTCTGATAGCAAAATCAGGAAGTAGGCTAGCACTGCCATAATCTAGATAAGAGTAATAAACGCGCCAAAAATTGTCTTATATGATTCGTCATCTTGATATTTAAGTTAGAATCTCTATCCATATTAATCTATTGACTTAAAGTAAGCAAATAATTTGCTTTTAGTTCGTATTTTTTCCATTTGCTAAACTAATTTCTTGCTATGAAGAGAGGTGGGTTAATAATTATAGAATTATAATTATTTATTCTGACATTTTAATAATCTATCTCTAACATTACTTTAATTATAAAATATAAATATAAAGCATTTATTTAAGAATTATTTATTTGTATTAAAATGAGACAATTTGACTTTATGGGGTTTTGGGGTTTTGGGG